AGAAAAAGTGGCCTCTTAATTTTTTCTAACGGCATTAAATAAAAATTCCAGTTAAACGGCACATCTGTAAAACCAATTAAAGTGCAAGACTTTCCAATCTATTTGGGTTTTGATTTGGCGCGATCCTTAAATTTACATTGCTTAGAGCGCGAAGGTGCGCGGTCAAAATTCTTGCAGATAGAAATTTCACTCCGGGTCGGTCGGAAGAATCGTCGGAGCAACGTACACAGTTACGGCACACGCGCACCTTTAGATATGGCTCGTAAAACGCGCAGGCGGAAGTGGTTTCACTCTGGTCAACGATACGGAACCATACGCAGCGTACGCACAGCCACGGCTCGACGTCGCGTCGCGTCGCGTAGCGTCGCGTAGCCTCGGCTTCGTCGTTTTCATGTTTGCCTGATGGAAAAAATGAAGTTGGTTTTGTATGTTCCTTTTTTTTCTTCTCATTTAGCGGCACGCGCGCGCGACACCGACGGTACCCGTCGTGCGATTAAAAACGTGTGTCGCGTCTGTTTCGCGTATCGAGCCGCACGTTCAAAGGGTTACGCAATCCCAGACGGACACGTGTCGGCGAGTAGAACAGGGATTCATAAAGACGGGCAAGGTTTAGACCGGTGTACGCGGCCCTACGAAGGCGTGCGTGCTCTTGGAGAAGCGGAAGGGAACGGGAAGGAGCGACCGCGAGAGAAAATCCGGCGATAATTGTAACAAAATTGATTCCCATGAATTTACTCGTGATTCTTTTTTCGAAATCCCGAAATTTCTGATTATTGCAATCAATTTCGTTATAAACAATATATAGTGAAATTTACATACACGGAAAGGATTTTCTCGTAAAATTTCTCCTGAAAACCATGTAATCGTGGGACAACGTGGCGTTTCGAAGAATTTTATTTCACTAGTAAAATGTGTGCTAAAATTGCAAAAAAATTTCATAAAATTCTTCGAAATGCCACGAAAATTTCATAAAATTCTTCGAAATGTCCACGATTACGCGATTTTCAGGACAAGTAAGAGGAAAATTCTCTGCATGTACAAACTGTATCCTTATTTTAATGATTGGCTAAATAATAAGAGACTCTCGATAGTGAAATTAACAAGTGACAAGTAAAAGGGGACTCTGAGAGTTCAACGGCGCGTAAGGTATTAATTATATCGATCTTTAACTAATAAGATACATAATTGCAAGTCGAATCTGTATCTTTATTATTATATGCTCTGTTGATTTAAGATAAGAATTTTAAGTAAAATCTGCCAATATTGTCAACATGTTATTTTATATTTATCAATATAATATGAAAAATATTATATATTTATGTTGCCGCGCAAGTCCGTCGTTCGCATTGAGTTTAGATAATCTCACGGTCGCGAAAAGACCGGTTTTATCGTTCGAAAGGAAAAGCCAACAACGAAAGTCAAAGTTTGCAGCATTACAACCGCTTCTCGCACAAAGTTATTTTTCCACAAAGCAAAATCGATTTACTCGGGCTTCGCCACGATGTCATATCGTAGGAAGCAATTAGACGTTCATGCACATTGATTGTTGACACGGATTTTTCTGGCTTTATCTCCTTTCGTAAGAAGAGTCTCGCTCGATCGACTTAGAACGCAATCCACGCTATCTTGATGTATATTGCCCGGAATTTACATACACACTCGCGAATGGCGGCAGATTAATAGTGCAAAGTACAGTCGTGGCGGCATATTTGACGCGTGTTTCAGCGAACAAATATTTTTCTCGCAAACAGCAATTTTAACGTCCACGTTTTAACGTTCGCGCATTAAATTCACGTCGTCATCGTGACACAGAACATAAATATTTATGCACTCGTGTCAACGTCAGCTTAATAAGATTGACATTTCTTTTCTGCCGAGCAGACGCGATTTTTGCAGAATTACGTATAATCGTTAAACAACCGCCGGAGAAATATTCGAGGCGTCTAAAGACGAAGTAAAACCGACGAGTAATATAAATATCAAAATGTTAACGGAGACGGTAAAAATATCAGATGATAATACACGATATGCGTCGGACGGGCGCACTCGCCGTAATCCGATGGTAAACTGCGCTGTAATTACATGGATGCGAGGAGACTGGTTCAGAAACACGTTGCGCAAAGCACAATGTTGCTAACTGCATCAGACACCGAGCGAGCTCCGGCTCGGATAATTAGCAATTTAGCTGAACGGTGTTTCGTGTGGGTTGCTTTACGTGCCAGCCGGCGCAGCGAGGTAAATCACTCTGCAGCTCGGCCGAGCCCGAAGGTCGCCTTGCACGGAGGCGCATGTAAATGAATGGGGATTGGATAGGGCAATGTAACAGGGTAGCAAGGGTTGTCAGGAGTGTTTCAAGGGCTCCTCCAAGGTCAAAAGGGGGACGGCAGTCTGTCGTTCATATCATTAAAGACCCACGTTATGGCGTACGTGGTTGCCCACGCGCGAGCCACGAGCGGACCTCTACGTTCGATCCCTCTTTCTTTCCCTTCGCGCCGCCTTCTTTCATTAACTTTTTTCGAAGCGGGTAAACGGCCGCGCGTAATGTCCCGTATTTAGCTAATTAATTGATTAAAGAGCGAACCAGAGAAACCGGTTCTGTTAGCGACTTGTCTCACAAAAATGCTTGGAAGTTACGCGCCATGTAAAAGAAAGACAAATGTTTCTCGAGAGAAATTAATCGTACACTTGACCATACGTTAAAGACATAATTACAATTTAATCTCCACACAAGTGTGCTTTGTGAAAATGACAAATTTTGAGATTACCGGGGATATCAAGGGACGACCGCAAAGCCAAATGCGGATGCACGGTGCGCTTAAAAATCGAGATAGAGTCGGGAGACGCGGATCCCGTACACATGGCCGGCGACGTCGGAGGCTGCAACGCCCCGGCGTTCCGCTCAGCTGTCATTCATACTTTTCGTGGTAATCACGATGCAACAGTCGTACGATTCGGCTACCAAGCCCGCAGGAACAGCCAGGAGTCCCGCGGGCCCGGCGCACGTTCGGGTGCGACTATTTCGCAATGTTTTCTAAGTAACCACGAGAGAGTCTCGGGGGTGCGAGGTACTAGGGATTCACGAGCGGGCAGGAGGACGATTTTCACCCCACGGGGGTGACTCGCGAAGGGGGATGCTGGGGATATGTGAGGCTTCGTTTACGCGGGCAGAACCCCGGGGTCGACGGCACCCCATGGGGCGGTGCGCCAATTCTATGGCGCGTTACCGGCTCTCGACCCACCCGTATATCGATCGGTTCGACACACCTAAGCCGGAAAAGAGCTTTTGTGTTATTCTGTCCTGGCGCGAAGCCTGCTTCGTATCCTATTTCAGTGGATTTTCAAAGAGGCTCGCGCGCACAATAGCTTCGCCGCTATAAATTCACCAAATGCACCTCATCCGCCGAAAAACAAGAATCCCTGCTTGAGAAAACGGTCGGTGCAGCTTCGTCGGATTTTTCATGCCGTGTTGCCCAGTAAATCAAAAGCTATATTGTTAACATTATAATATCATTCAGTTGGACAATGGTTGAGAGAATTTCACTTGCGAACCTTTTTGCTTGGATGTAAATAATTTACAACGCTAGGCATGGCGTTTTTAATTAAAGTATGTACATTCAAAGGCCTATCGCGAGATCTCTTAATCCACGAAAGTCAATTGCAGTCTTCGCAGCATTCTCCACGTCTGTTGATCTTCGACGAACAAAGGCCGGCCTCGACGCGAGAAGGACATGCGTTTCGCTCTCGCCAGAAGACTCTCGTGACGGTCTCATTTGTGCGATCGCATCGCCAGGGTGATCGCGATACCTTGACGATGCGGGGAATACGGTTGTCGCGCTACTTAGGACGGAGGGAGAAACGGGGGCGACTTAACGAGCGTCTTTGATCTGCTTTAATTAGCCGCGAGCCGCTGGACTATCAGCCGATTTATCGTCTCGATCGTCCGAAAGGAGATGCGCTTCCACGAAAAAGCGGCTGCCGCAAAAAGGGCGGTCCTTTTGAGGTACTTTCGACGATATCCCAGCGGATACTGTAGAAGCGGTGCTCCGCTTAACGATCCGCCTCGAACAGCTGTTACTCGCACAAAGCCGTCAGTCCTTGGGATGTCTGTTTTTCATAAATTTGGATGTCCATAAAATATCCATGAAAGGATCTAAAATGGACGTCATTTCCAATGCTCTACTATTCGCAATTATTTCTAAAATAGACATTTCAAGTTACATAAAGTTTATGAGCAATAATAAATTTGAAATGTCAATATATTTATGATAAATATCAAGTTTAATACTTTAAATTATGCAGTTTAATCACAATTAGAGTTTTAAGACACGTCATTTAATAAAATATAAATGCTTCGTACATTTTTTTATCTATAATCTATATTGCATTATATAAAATAAAAGTGAAAAACGTAACGTAAATGAATCTTGAAAAGAAAAATATTGCAAAAACTATTGTCCAAGACCGAACGTGCTGTAGACGTCCAAAGAGTGACCACTGGCGGATGTCTCAGATATACTATGGACGTGCGAATGTAAAATGGACATAAAATGAACATCCGCGGGATGTCCTGTGCTGTCTGGGATATGCATCTTTTTAAAATACAGACGAAGATGCATCGGACTCGCTTGTCCGTTTATAATCACCTTCGTCGTCATTCGTGAAATGTCGTCTCAGCAAATTTCTGAACTTTCAGCGCGCTTTTGTAACGGAGAAGGGACCTGTTACAACGACGTGGCAATCTTTCTTTCCATCTTGAAACCGGACCGCCCGGAGAATGAGAGCTCCCAGTTGAACTCTTGGAGGAGTGGGGCGGAAACACGAAGTTCAGACGGGTCAGCAGAAATTTGAGTGATTAGTACGTGCCCGATCGGTGGACTAGAGATCATCGAGGACGCTTGACCGTGACCGCGTCAGCCCACGCGTTCTCGAGCTTCTTCGTCTCGGCGTAAAATCAGCGTGTCGGCGGAACGTCCGCGATTTCGGAAATCGCTCGAAAAGGATATTATTCGCGGCACTCGTTGCCAGTGGCAGTTTAAGAAATCGTTAACCAAATCGTTGACTTTAAGCTTTGGATTAAAGGTTATTTTCAAATTGGCAGAGAAACTATTGAGAAAACTGATTTTGTAGCGTAAAGAATTGAAGATTGTAAGCTAGTTAAAAATTTCTAGAGGAAAAACCGCTAACGACTGAATGCGCACGCGATTAAAATTTCGTTTATTTCGAGATGAACGCTGAATATCGGGACCGCCGCCGACACGAGTGCTATCATTGGCGCTTTTGCGTCAATCGATTTTTTCATTATTATTACTGTTTATCGCGCGGCTTACATAGTGGCTGGCAGTGATGAATTGCCCCGTCGACGAGACAGACATTTAGAGCTCACGAGATCTTCGTAGAGTCGACGCCAAGGACGTCGCAACGTATTTCTGCAGCTTTTAAGGCGAAAAGTGTCCCACCTTCGACTGACCAGAGAATTCCGAAGATCCACGCTCCTTGGACACTTGCGACTGCCAACTTTTGAGAAAGTGAAGTGACAAAACAGAAGACGTTCTCGTTGTACAGTCCGTAATTAGCTTTCGAAGACGTTAAGTTAACATTGAGTTAACGTTAGACTGATACTAGAACACTGTGATAACATAATTCACTCGGTATATAGCGTACTGGAATTTGTTTGCTTGCTTCTGCAAATGCCAATGTTGTAAACAGAAAGACGTTTGGTGGAACGGCATACATAATAAAGTATTACAACACAGAAGCGAAATACTGTGATACGTGTAAGTTAAAGACATCAACGTGAAGATTGCAGATACCTGTTAGTACGAAGAATATTTCAACATGTCCTTCATTTTTCTCAACGGGACTATGTTCGTGATGGCGCACGCGGCCAATATATTGGTTTCGATGGACAACAAGAATAACAGCATAGCTCCGAATATCGTTACCACAACCTTGTCGCCGGAGGAAGTGGAAAACAGATTCGATTTGGATGATCGTAAGTGCCGAGTCTCCGAGGATTCGCTTTTACTTGTGAAATAACTTCTCTATACTTTGGCTGAAGTATTCGGCGCGAGAAACGGGAGTATAAAAAGCAGAATAATTTTCGTTTCTGTGCCTTCCATATATTGTAATAAAGTCATACTTGATTACCCGTGTTGGGCGGAGGATAAGAAAATATCTCGAAGAAAAGAGTCGAGGGAGAATAAAGAAAATGAAAATTAGTCACTTATACACGTCACGTGCGATCGTGTACTGCGTTCATCACTAATCGTTGATCTCTAACACGGAGACAAAACATCAGCGGGGTCTTCGAGGAACTGATAGAGCCGCGCGCGGAGATATCGTGGACGGTGCTGATAACCCCTGAAGAGTAATCCGTAGTAACGCTGGTCGCGCGTTCGAAACGTCGGTTGATATTAGTGAAGGACGGCGAACGCATAAGTTAGATATGTATGCCAAAATATTTGCCATTGACGTACTGCGCAACTGTATACGATTTCGCGGCGCGAATATAGCGGCAGTCTTCTAAGCACGGAAAAATTTCGAAATCGTCCTATATTTCCGCGCCTTTTCTCATCTACAATCAATTATTTGACCAATGTAGACGAACAATCGTGTTATAGAATTGACGAAAGTGATTGAGATGAGATTACAGGGCTTGACGCTGGCGTAGTTGATAAACGTTCAAGGCCCCTCAAACATGGTAGCCCGATGTATACAAGTGTATACCATTCGACCCGCAGGCGTAATCAATATATGTTTTTATTCCTAAATATTTCTGATTTAAGTTATCTCCAAGGACAAACAATTATCTCTTGTCTCTACGTATCTTTAGGTTGTGTCAATTACATTTAAACAACCGTCCAGACTAAGAGACCAACGGAAACGAGCCGATTAGGGCGTCGCGTTATCGTACGGAAGTACAGACGTTGATTTTATTTAACGCACTAGTCAGCTCGTTTTTGTTGGCCTTTGTTTCGACATTTGTGCACTAGGAATCACTAATGCCCTCCCATATGAATTTAGAACATATGTAGAACACATACACATTTTCCACGTATGCATATGCAAAGTGTACAAATGTGTTGATATGCGCGCAAATTCATGTGGGAAGGCATCAGTGATTCCTAGGGTACGTCATCTATCTTTCTTTGCTAAACAGCGCTGATAGCGAGCCCCCCGAACGCACCCCTAGTATACATTCGACGAGCGACTTTCTTTTTATTGTTTCAATTAAATTTAGATCGCGTTGTCGCACTGAATCTTTGTTGCGGTTAAAGGCAAGGAGTAAAAACATTTTCTTATTAATTAGAATGGTACATGTGGCGATGCTACGAGCCGTACGGCTGTTTTTACATCGGAGCACCGTGGTCCGGGGAGAACCGTCCGGTGTCCACATTTCCGGCACGCCCGGACACGATCAACCCACGTTACATCCTTTACACGCGCGAACAGGCCGAAAAGCCTTACGAGTTGACGATCGACAGCTTCGAGACGATCCAGAAATCGCCTCTGAACAAGAAGAACAATTTGTATCTCATCATTCATGGCTTTTTGGACAACGGCGATAAAACATGGGTTATGGTGAGTGCCTCTCAAGATTTATATAGCGAATTCGACACAGTCAAATGTAGCAACGGTACCGTACACTTGCCTCGCGCGTATTTTGTTCCCCAAAGAAAGTTTTACGATCGTACCGTTGCCAAACTCCTCGCTCACGTGAATGTTACGACAGAGACTGATGAAGGAGTTGCTGTCACGGGAGGATTGCAACGTGGTGATCGTAAACTGGCTCGCCGGGGCGGGTCCACCCTACACGCAGGCGGTGGCGAACACGCGGCTGGTGGGCGCGATGACAGCTCGCTTGGTCGCGCAGCTGCTCAACATCACGGGGTTACCAGCCTCGAAGACGCACTGCATCGGGCACAGTTTGGGCGCCCACACTTGCGGCTACGTGGGATACAACTTGCAGAGCAATCGCTACAAGTACACATTAGGCCGTATCACAGGTAAATGATCGGTCATCGGCGTACGACTCTTTATATGTATCTCATCCGTGCAGCGCGGGTAACAGTTTCCATATTACGCGATATGACACGGTCGTTATCGCGCAATAATCGGCAGGCAGGTCGTCGCACGGTGCGGATGAATAAGCAAGAATTGGAAAAATGATTGATTAAATAATCCCCCGGAGATTACGTACGCGACAAGAAAGCCGGGCTTCTTTATGAGAGGTTCAAGAGGCGATTGCGAGAGAGGAGAGTGTCAAAAGCCTCTTTATGCAAGGCTGAAGGTGCGATTGCAAAAGGAAAGCGCAAGCGAAGGGAAAACGCAGGATGAAGTCATAGAAATGCGCGAGAGGATGGTACGAAGGCGCGGTCGTTACGCCGCCCTTTCTCCTCTTCCTCATTTTTCTGCCTGAAATCGGTCAATGTCGAGTAGTTGGTCTGTCCCCTCCTGCGGTCGCAAACAGCTCGGAGCATTACGAAGATAGCCGATTGAATCGCAGATGATCAGGATAACAGTCGCCGCAGAAGCGTCTTGCTCGAAAAGGTCCAACGGGTCGATCTCGAGGCGCGATTAACCGCGTAAAAATAAGGGCGCAAAATTATTTTGCAATTTTCTCGATAATAAAAAAATTCATTGAAATTCAAATTGAAATCACTTCGATCTTAAAAGTAAGGGAAAAAATTCTTTCGCGTCCTTTTCTCGGCGTTAAGTTCAATAGAATAAATGTAACACATTTAATACAAAAGTTTTACGATTGGCGAGCAAGCGGAATCTCCGAGGGGTACGAAAAATATTTGCTCGCACGATTATTCACCGTACGTGTCTTAATGTCTGGAACGTGTACTTCAACTTTCCATCAGAGTTTCCATTACACAAACTTATAATTTAAATGATCAGTGCAATTTTTTCCAACGTAACGAGCTAAGTACCCGAGCGAACGACGATGCCTCTCGCCGCGACGAGCAAATAGAGGACAATCGTCGTTACGGTGAATGTAACGACTGCAAAATCGTGTTTACTTTCGTTGTACTTTCCTGTGATTTTGTGCCATCGGTGGATTTATATAACGCACGATATCGAGAAGCAACGACGAGCTGACGATTAAAAATTTCTCGTGTCTTGTGGAAACTAAAAACCAAAAATTCAAGATACAATCGTGACGCGAGGACACGCCGTTCTCTTTTCCGCGCGATTCTCGTCGCGCCGTTAATACGTAATTTGCATTACCAACGACGAATCGATGAGGAGTACGTGGACGCGAGTTTGTGCGACGGGAGGAGCAGCCCCGCAAAATTTCTACCCCCCGACGGAATCGATGAGATCGAACGCACCTGATCGGAGGTGGACGGGTTTGGTCGTTACGTAAGCTATCGATCCCATCGGGAACTACCAGGATAACAGAAGAAGGCGCGAAGTGTGTTAACAAGGGCGGCGGCGGGGCCTACACCGTCAATGGCCGCGAAGCGACCCGCAGAATTCGCCGAGGGCTCGGCGAATCGACGCCCTCTCTCCGCCTCGGCGCGATCCGCGAGGCAGGACGTCCCCTAACGAGGGGTCGTCTCTGGTCGCGAGCGCGGCCGACGGGACATGCGTCGGGGATGCGAGCGAGAAGCGTGCCTCCTAGACACATCCGGAGACGAGATTGCGGTAAACAACCAGAATAAGAGAGCACGTTGTCCCAAGAAGTGGCAGGATAGCAGGAGGATAGGCCTCGTCCGAATAAGGACGAGAAAGATAATGGGATATCATCAATCACAGGCGTGAAAGAGCGCCGTCCCGGGGAAGATTCGCCGAAGCGGAACGCAAGTCGTCGTCGATTCACCGCCGCGTATAAAGCGAATCCTTTCTACGTGGAACGCTCTGAGCTCGCTGCGCTCGGCAATCATTTCTAAATTTTCGTCCGAGAAAACCGCGTCGTCGCGCGTCGCGATGCGCGAGCGTCGCGACGGTCGTTTTCCCTCCGAAAAAGGACCGAGCGGTTAGGGTATTGTCTGTACAATCGCGAAGTTAACTTCCGTCCTTGCGCAATGTAACACGACATTACGACTTACGACGGGACGTTCAGTAATCCTTACGTGACAGGAGCTGAAGCATGTGTGCCTTGTAAGCCGTGTGAGACGAATCGTCATTAAGATCGCGGAACGATACATATTAAAGCGACATAGTTCTATATAGTTCGTACATCACCTTCAAGACTTGTTAGTTTCGCCAGCGTGCCCGGAAGCGTAGATTCCAAATTTCCGGCGATTTCGTAATCGTTATTAGTTATTTATCGACGCATATATAAATTGCAGAGGAAAGTCGTCTATTATGACGTAGGATTCTAACACGAGATATAGAAGATTTTCAACGCCCAAATTCAATCACAAATCTTTTTTTCGCAACGATCCCACGTTCTAACATCAATTTAGCAGAAACCCCCGCTATCTCATATTAGGGGACTTTCCTCTATACATACGTGAATTCGGTAAAAATTACATCGGCGAAAGAAATACGACGATTCCCTGTGGAAATCCTGAAAGTCAGCTACGTCGTTTCGCCAGCCAACGTCCAATTGCAATGCGGAGTCCACTTTCTTACGAATTTATTCCACCGATGTGCCGCTCCCCGCCAGACTCGCGCGCCGATTTCGGTTGTCGAAACGACCGTCCGCACTAACACTTGTCACGTTGCAATTTCTCTCCGCAAGGCCTCGATCCGGCAGAGCCGCACTTCAGCAACACCTCGCCGATGGTCCGACTGGATCCGACGGACGCGGCATTCGTGACAGCCATTCACACCGACTGCAGTCCTTTTATCAGCGGCGGCCTTGGCATTATGCAACCGGTGGGGCATATCGATTTCTATCCGAACAGCGGTCGCAATCAGCCTGGCTGTAACGAAGGCGTGCTCAATTCCATCACCTTGGAGCGCGGCAGCTTCTTTCGCGGTGAGCTCCCTATCCTTAATCACACACCACGAGAATTGTCTCTTCGAATCTGTCCTGGAAATCACGTGGGACAACGCGGCACTTCGAGGAATTTTATGAGAGTTTTTTGTACCTATAGTAAGATTTAAAAACTCTCATAAAGTTGTAAATTTTAAGAGAAGATTCCCTCCGTGTACAACTTTGGTATATTCTTCCATACTTTTTCTTTCAGGGATTAAGAGATTCTTGGGCTGCAATCACATCCGTAGCTACGAGTACTTCATCGAGAGCGTAAACTCGCTGTGTCCGTTTTTAGCCGTGCCCTGCAGCTCCTGGGACAAATTTCAGAGTGGCGATTGTTTCGATTGCGTGAACCAATACTGTCCTAGATTCGGACTGGACGCACAGCCTGGCAACTATCACGCGTCCGTGTACCTGATGACTGGACATAACAAGCCGTTCTGCAGTTAGTAACGCCTAAACTTGTAATCGAGCGCGGGTTACGCAATCCGCTTGCCTTCATAAAGCTTGTATTTAGCTAAACTTGAAATTAAAACGCCGTGAAAATTGCAGAGGCCCATTACAAGCTGACGATAAATATCTCAGAGACGGACGAGAGTCTGTCGTACGGCGGGGAAGTCGGGATGTTCGTCGTGCGCGTCATCGGCGCGAACAACAAGAAGACCGAGAGGATCCAGCTGTCTCCGACCTCGAAGTACTACGAGCCCGGTAGTACGCACACGATTGTACTGCCTGGCGACGTAGTCGGGAAGCCGCACTCGGTGGAGATCACCTGGGAGTATCAAACGTCAGTCTTCAATCCGTTGACCTGGAGGCTGCTTCACACGCCACGAGCTTACATCGACTCGCTGTACGTGAAGAATCTGGAGACTGATCACGAGTAAGAAACTTCGCTTACACTTACCGCCGGCAAAATACACGAGAAACGTATGTGGAAATTCTGCTCCTACAGAGAATATGCAAGCTGATTGGCCCGCGTGGTTTTCAATCTTTCTGTGAGAGCAGAATTTCCGCATACGTTTTTCTTTCGAATTAATTCCAGAATCGAGCCCCCGGTCGAGCGAGATAATGTCCAGCGAGAAGCCTGGTACTGCATTTCGCGCGGATCCTTGGAACACGCGATGTTCCGCGTACGCGCGACGTCCTTGCGCATGCAAGGCTTAAGGAAACAATCGTAAATCTCTTGCTCGCTTGTGCTATCTCTCGCGCGTTGCGTCTTTATAGCTTCCCGCGGCTTTACAGCCGTAACCTATCGTCTTCGCTATGCGCGGACATTTCGACGGCGAGGTTTGTTGCTGTTCGAGGGAAGAGAGCTGGAACGGCGCGATGAGCGTTATAAATGAGCCGCGGGTATTTATAAAGTCGGATGGACACAGTTGCACAATTACGCAGCGATCTGTGCGACTGCGTGTATAATTATAGAGTCGCTAGAGTCACGTAACAGAATTTCTATTGTTCGTAGTGTTATTTTACGTTTTTTTTCCTCCTTTTTTTTTCAGAGTCACTCTGTGTCCAGACGATACGAAAACTCTGATCGCCAACCAACCCAAGATCCTGACCACGGAAAACTGCCACGACGCGAAACACAGCGCAGTTTCTATGTGAAGGATCCGACGAGGAGATCCGCGCCTGTCATTCAAGAATTAAATCCCATTGAAACTGGTATAATTTCGTTGGGCACGATTGGATTTCGCCAACTGCAAATGAAGACAATCTCTATTACACTTTGTATAAAGCAAGGTGAATTTTGCCCTTGCCGTAGCGCGAAAATTTAATATCACGGAAATTATACCAGCCTCAAACTTCGCTCGCCACGTGACTGAAATAAGACTTGTTAGCTGCACGAAGAAGACCACGGTCTTTTGGAGGCTGTATTTACCTCTTCGTATACAGAAGCCGCGGATAAGAAGAAGAGTATCCTATCAGTCTACAATATCACATAGGAAAAGTCAAGGGGGTAATCACTTTACGTAATCGTGGGACAGTGTCTCCGAAATCATGACGAAATCCTTACGAAATCCCCGTGTAATCCTTTTGTCTTCATTTTCAAGTTTCTTCACTTGTTAGACAATACGCATTAAACTTGAACATTCTCTCAGCTTGTTCTTATTTTCCAATAAAAATTTACTTCTTTTAGTGGATATCCAAATCGTCATAGTCGACACCTAGAAGCGCGTATTCTTTTCGTAACAAGACTGAAGTAGTTGCTGTTAGAACAACAGCGAGTTGAAACGTTGATACACCTTTGCGCGCAAATTTGGGGCAATAAACAGTACATACAAATAGAAAACTACTTTTCATTAAGACCACGGTTAGACTAGTGGGAAAAGTAGGAAAGCCAGGAAACACGTTTTCTACCTAACCGAATACTGCAATCTTAACTGAAATTACTTCTACAAGCAAATACTTGTTGGTAAAATAAGAAAAATATATTTTGAGGAGAGCAACAGCTCTTTGAGGTCTAACAACGTCACATATTTTTAAACGTACATATAAGAGAAGATTATTTGCAATTAGATGAGATTATTTGTAATCAGATGAAATCAAATGAAATCATGCAATCGGCGGGACAATATTTTAGCCAGTGGTTACCCCCTTGGGAAAAGTCGTTATTCGTCATAGAGGTCTAAGAATAATCATCATCGCGTTAAGCAGCCGGCCGTAATCCCCGCGGGACTTAACTTCGCGCGAATGACATTTAATCTCCGGAAACTCCGTTTCCGATTCGATCCCGAGCTGTTCATTTCGCGGCTGTCGTAGGCGAACGAGCGCGAGTCTCGCATAATAACCTCGGTTTCCCTCGCAACCAATGGCAAAGTCACGATCCTTTCACTGTCATTATGCGCCCGAGGTCTTTCTCTCTCTCCCTCCCACCCTCTCTCTTTCTCCCTCTCTTTCTCGCTCCTCATCGCCGGACCGCGCTTTCGTGCGACGTCGTCATCGCATCGGGTAAATTGTCGCCGACCCGGTAATTTGTGACCGTAAATGCGTCAATCCCACTTTGTTCAACCATGCGAGATTCAACGGTGACAATGGCGTAACTAACGACTCTCGGCATCGTGTAATAAATTTCGTCAAGGTTTCCAGTAAAGAGGAAGACAAAACTGAAGAGAACTAGGAGAGAGACAATTTTCAAGCGCGCGAAAAAAGCACTGCTGCACCTACTTGACGATTGGGTATTACGCGGTAAATTTGATTGCTCCGTTACAAAGACGACGGAGACGGTCCGGCGATTTCGCAATTTCGTCCGTCGCGTCGGCTTAAGCAACCGCAAAGTGGGCCGGGCGCGTACGGTCTCCGCGTGCCAAATGAGCTATGAAAATTTACGGATTACCCTACGAGAGCGTTTGATTCGATTCGACTCGTTCGGGCGATTCGTTCCCAAAAATGTCACAATCGACGGGTTCGGCGAACGGCGGCGTTCCACGCAGGGAGAAGCGAGATCCGCGCCGATAAAATACTTTCCGCTACCATAGCTAATTATGATTTGCTAAAAATATTTTACTGCCATCGCTATAAATTTCGAAACCACAGGAAACGATTCGCTATCGCACCTAATACAATAGGCACAATAGCAAAGTATTATCTCCCGGGGAAAAATGGAAATATCTCATTATACAGGGTGTCCCAGGAGGAAAGGTCAATATTCTGGGAGGTGATAGTATCGGTCATTTTAAGCAAAAATGTTCATACGAATATATGCCTCATTCCCCACTGTTTCCGAGATAGAGCTATTTGAATGCAGTCGCAAAATGCACCGCAGCAAAATATTAGCTGTCCACATTTTACAACTGAAATTTAGTTGCAGTTTTGAGCTACGACAGCTACATTGTTTTCCGCGCGGGAGCGACTTCTAAGTTAAGGAAATGCGTTGAGCTAGAGTCCCAATATGATATACGAGTTATTTAATTTATAGACAAACGCACCTCACTGCATGACGCGCACGATAAGTCCATGAGCGATTCAGTTGCGACGAGGATTACTCTTAAGCGAAAGTGTACATATACGAGTAAAATTCATCTGGAAATATTTCACGCAACGCCATTATTTCGCCCCGTTATCCGGCTTATCAAAGCGCGCCGATATGAATGGATTATCCGTACAAAAAAAAAAGCAGATGAAAACTTTCTATTCGGTAATGGTCTGCGGCACGTAAATACACGAATGTCTATCGCAAACTTGAAATGAGCGCACGGCCGAGTCGAAAAGTAAAAGACGGAATTAACGAACTGAAAAAAAGATTATGCAGGAAATAATATATCATTTATCCCAAAGTCATTGCCGCGGCGCCGGAGTTCCGCGTTCGTTTCACCTATCGCCGCGCCGCGTCGTCCGCAGATCGGCTTGTTTTACTTCTCGATCTTTAATGAGCGAGGTAATCTAGCATTGGCAATTTTCCTCTCCCTCCCGCTGTTGACGCGGGTGGGAAATAACGGGAATCCCCCCGGTCGCTCGCTCGGGTCCGAACGGGCCCTTCACGTACCCCCCGGCTGAACCTCGACACCGGGTGGCGGACCGCCCGGTGGTGGGCAGGCAGATATTCCGGAGCAGGTTGCGAATCCCGCTTGCATTCGAGCAGTCGAGCGCCGGCCTCTCACCGCGCAACGTTCCGCTCCTCTCCCGAGCGGCCCTCTCGCCGTTCCCTCCTGCCTATTAACCGAGCGTAGGCGACGAAGGTAGAAATTTCCGCATTAGCCGCCGCACCACGCTGATTCCACGGGGCGGCTCGCGAGGGTGATGCGAAGCCTCGAGCTCCACGAGGACCACGTGCGCGACGACCTGAACGGCTGCGTGGCAAATCTCCGCGATGGACCGATAAGACAACGGGACGGCGCCGCGTGACATGAGAGGACGGCTGCGAAAATGTGAGTTGATCGCGCGGACCCTCGTCGTGCTGACGTTTAATTCAAACGGCCCTGAGCGCGCTCCTATCGTCGCCAGTGGTAAAATAAAACGACAATGCAAATATGGATTGCCGGTCGACTACAAGCTTGGCATTTTTTGTTTAATTTCAATTAAAGTCCGAATGTACGCGAGACGGAGGGGAGACATTGACTTGAGATACTCTTACAACTGTAAAACTTGATAAGTCCGAAACTTGAATGCGACCGGCGAGTGACATTCGCGATGAATTTCGCAAACGATCGAGGGAGGTAAATTTAAAAAAAATCATTGAGAACGTGAATAACTTGCCGTACTTACGCGTCACGTTTTCCACTGTCAAAATAGCGAATCCGCAAAGGTTCTTTCTCGTCGTGTGCAAAGTATTTTGACGTAAGAGCAGTTACATCGCTCTATCACGACCTTGACGAATTGATGGCGCGATTACATGAGTCACCCGATCGTGCATGCGAATCAGAAACCCGACTTGATTCGTAGCAATTTAGATATACGCATATAATGAGGTATCATTTTAATTTCTAATATCGCTGCGTTTTATTACATTTGTCACCGCTCGCTTTCTTAGGCGTTTAACCACTCATGTCGCGTTGGAAAACACCATTTACGCGACGCATGAGTGCGTCGCTCTTAAGACGATTCCGATTCCAGACACGTGTTCGAAATCACGACGCATGTCGAGTCGCGTCGCTTTTCAAGCAGTCCTGCCGACACGCTCGGTAAAAAACTATTTCTCTTGTCTAACCAAAAATAACTCGAGAGTTACTTTTACGCGCGTGGACTTGCCTCTGCCCAGATAGAGAACGTCTTTCTCCCAAATAAAATTTAACGATCCACTTCGTAGCCTCGGCACAGAAGGGCTCGGTTCAACCTGTAGCCGTTTGTCGTCCGCGGACTCACCGAGTGCATCTCGAAAAGTTTCGGGAGCAGCCGTGGAGCTGAATTTCAAACGCCCGGCCGCGTGATTCGCGAGGAGAGCGATCTCTAAAAGTCGACTCTCTAAAAGTCAGTCAGTGCACTAAAAAAAAAACAGTTGAACACTAAGAGAGAAACAGTTATGAGTACAGCACTGAATTATTCACTGCGGAACATTGACTGTTTCCAGTGATAATCCACCGATTGACTTTTAGAGAGCAGGATTTCGGAAAACGCGTACGCACGCGGCGAGGGAAAGAGCGGCGGATGTGAGGATAGAGTTGTAGGCGAGCGACGCGGACTTTCTCCGGACAAGCCCACGTAGGCGTGCACGCGGGCCTTCCACCAGCTGGATCGTACCGAACCGATCTAGCCGCGGGGCTGCGCGTCGCCCATGTAAGGCTGGAATCTACAATAGACGCAGCAAGTCGCAAGCCGCAAAAAAATCGACCAGTCACAGTCGAAGATGAGAAGAATGATCGACCGTCATTGGCCGATTTCTTGCGGCTTAACGTCTTGCGTTTTGCGTCCATTGTAGAATAAGCTTAAGGCTGGATCTACAATAGACGCGGCAAGTCGCAAGCCGCAATTAAAAAAATCGACCAGTCACAGCTAAAGATGAGACGAACAATTGACTGTCGTTGGCCGATCTCTTGCGGCTTGCGACTTTCTGCGTCCATTGCAGAACCAGCCTAAATCAGCGCCGATCGTCTCCTGCGATTCCTACGAGGAAGTTTTCTTTCGAGGTCGCGCGGAAGTCCCGAACGTGCCGAACTCGCGCGTACTATCCTGATCGGCACGACTGTCTCTAATCGCTGTATGGCCCGCGAGAAATGCGGCTCACTTCCGGCTTTCCTCCTTTCTTTCGCGCGCGAGTCATGCCCCGCGAAATAATTGCGGCGCAGGCGGGATATGATTAACCGCCGTTGAACATTCCGCCGCGTCGGCGAGTTTGCAGAGATCGATTCCGCCCTCCGTCTCCTTCGTCGGGAGATGAAAGTCCTGGCGAATTTAAAAGTCTTGGTGTCCGAGAATCGTTTGGATCCGAGGTCCGAGGTATCGAGATGCACAAAGTAAACGAGACGACGAAAACAATCGTCGTCATGTAATGACGCTTGCAAATTTGTCTAACGACGTACGTGGAATATATTATTTCTACTGTTAGCACGTTATTCCTACTTTATTCAATAAAGTATATAAATAATAAAAAATAAAGCAAGTGAGAGGAGTATCGAGCATGGTACTGGATAGCTCAGTAGGAAGAGCAGTCGCTCGGCTAGCGGAAGGTTCGTAATCCTGATCTAGTCTTAGACTTAACTTTATGGAATAGCTGCAAGCTGATTGTTCGCCCATTGTTCGCCGCGTCCCGACGCTCAAGCGAAGCGACTTTTAGCGCCGTCCATACGGAGCTGCGTATCCGCGAATCTATCGGAGGAACGTGAGAGCAGGTTTCTCGAGACATCGCGGATGCAGCGGCATGAGGAAGGAAATCGGCACCGCGTAGGACACGCTTCGGTGCCGCGGAGCTCGCGATCGTTTAGAAAAATTGTTCCCTCGTTATCTGAGCAAACGATCGCGGCCTCGATTTTTCCGATTATATCCCCGGTATTTATCTTCTCGCTTACAACGGACGCAAGAAATGTTAAGCTCGCCGCACGAAGATTTCGCGAGAGACGCCACCGGTGCCGGGAACCAGTGCAACAAGTGTCGCGTTACATAACGCGGCACAACCGCGCGATGTCGCAAGCGGGCCGATCTTTCGCTCGAATCTCCCCGTCGCCGATCAGTACCTGTCATCGCGAGACTCGCAAAGGGCACTTGCGCGGTCGCTTATGCAACGACGATAAACGGGGGGCCGGGTTGCACACACGAGGATTGTGTACCATACGGGCGGCGTTTCCGCGGCGCGCGCGCGGCACTTCCGGGCGAGAAAACGCCGTTTCCCCATTTAATCGCGCAAAAGCGCGGACTCGCGTGTCGACCGCGCGCGAGAACCGTGAAAACGACTTACGTCGACGGTATTTCGACGGCTCAGGCTCTCGGCGAGCCTACGGAAACGCGTTTATAAATTATCGTTCGCGCGCGCGCGTACACCAGACCTGCCAGGAAACTGTCGATAGCCGGAAAAGGAACCGGCGCGCGCGCGCGGATCGGAGCGTTTCTTTTGGCTCGGACCGGTGTTTCCGAGATCGACGCGCGGCTGGGAAAAAGGAAGCCCGCGGCGAAATTTTCACGGCGCACGTATACTTTGCGCTTTAAACTTCATTGGACAGATCAACGCGGAATTGTAGAGCGTGGAAGTCGCGAATGCCTGAAAACAGACTGCATTTCCTCGTGCTATTTCCTCTATTCCGCACCGATCTCGTCCGACACGCCTCCCTCCTTGTTCCGTCATCGCGTCGGGTCCCTAATCTCGACGCCTTAAGGGGGATGCTGGAGTGAGTTTGCACGTACAACTGTCTGTTTCGTGGAAACATTTGTGTAATATACAAATTATGTAGCTTTTGTGTATAGACCGACAGTGTTCCACTATTCGGACTAAACCAAGGAACGGCGGGGAATCACTGAAATTAAATTTAGAAGCCTGACAAAAAATTTATTCGCTAAAACAAGTCTTAAGAGTATAAGACAGCCATTCTGGCTTAAGACAATGTTTTGCTTTAAGCCTTTGTCTTGAGATAATGCACAATAACTGTCTTATGTCTTAAGAGTACAAGACCGCCATTCTGCTCAGGCCCTTAATTACACAAACGTTTTCATGAATTGACAGCTCTAGATGCAAAACGTGCAAGAGGTGCAGAATCACGCCAGCACTCCCTTAACAACCGGTTATTCGCTTCTCACGATGCCGTCGGTTGTCTCGCCGTCTTCCCAGTTGTCTCGCCCTTTTTTTCTTCCGCCCTGTCGATCTCGCGCCGCTGCCGACGAACGGGGAGGCAAAGCGGAACACGGTGCGCGTGACGCACGCGACATCGAAGCGCTGAATCGTGATAGCCGCGCGAGATCGCCGCGAGAGAGGCGCGGAGAAATGTTGAGCGAAAAAAAAAATCGCGCGCGAGCACATGGCGCGCGAGTCATTACGTATAGAAATCTCGGCCCCCGGCGGGCGCTGCAACTTTCGCGATCGCGGTGCATATGCATTCCCGAGAGATGCCCAGGCGCATCTCTTGCGAGCGCGCGCATCCGCTCGCCGCTTCCGCGTCCGTGCGGCGCCTCGTTAGAGCGGAATCGCGGGCGAGAATCAGAGGCGATCGTCGATTCTCGCCGACGCGTGTCGAAGGGGAGGATCGCGGCGAACGACTGATGTTTTTTTTTCGCGACCCCAACGCGCTAATTACGAATTAATTGGACGATGGAGTAATCAGGCAAGATCAGCCGGTACTCGCTGTAAATGCGCGACGGTTAATAATGCGGCGGCTTTGTCGTGTCTCCCCGGAGGAAAGATGGAAAAAATATCATTGCATATTTCTCGAGCATGTGATATCTGTAATTAAATCTCACGAGATCTAATTCTAAACAAAGTCATCGGATCTTTAGAAATCCGACACTTTTCTTCAATGCTCGATTTTATATTGAGATCGAGAAGCCTGATCTCAAATGTGCTCTTTGCGACTGAAAACATTATATTCTGTATAAGCAAATCAAAACGTTTGAAAAATTTGTGGACGGTGATAAACTGCATACATTGTACAGTCGTACATTGTCGACAAGTTTTTTAAACGTTTCGATTTGCTTATATAAAATAGAATGTTTCCAGACGTAGAGAGTACATTGTAGATGAGGCTTAAAAATGTCCTATTGAAATATTTAGTTAGATATAATCTCGAACGTGTAAGAAAAGTGTCGGATCTCCGTAGATCTGACGCTGTTTAGAATTGGCTCTCATGAGATATGTGTATAGTAATTAGATGATACACGATTGAGACATACATCGGGAGATTTTTCCATTTTTTCCCGGGTCATCTCGCTAATTTTCCCGGCGGTAATTATCTCAAATGCTCCGCGGATCCGTCGTTATACGTCGCGGAAACCCACGTGCGCTTCCGGCAAA